TTTCTAAAAATAAATAATTTTTTGACACACAAAAAAAAAAAACAACAAACCCCCCCTCGCATCTGCGCAACCCCCCGCCCTCCCCCCCCCCCCCCCCGGGGGGGGGGGCTCACTGTTTGAAATGTTTTCATTCATCTAAAAGGGCCTTTTCTGTCTCCTCCCAATTCCATAAGGCCTGAGACCAAAGGCTGCTAGGGAAAGGAATAGATTGTTCTTAGGGTATTTTTCTCAAGATAATGACAAAAAGGAGTTATGAGGGAAATGTATGCAAAATTAGATACATTTTGTAAAGTTAATGATCCAAACTAATTGAGCCTAAGGCAAGTAAATGCTTTCCAGTAATTGCTAATGACAAGGGAAATTTATTCTGATATTTGACAACTTTAAGAGGCATGTTACCTACCATATCCTATAATTCCAAGCACACCAAATATGAAGAACCAGAAGAGGAATCCAGCTGTGAACCTCAGGAGTATCAAAAACGTCCAGCTCAGTGCCATGGCAAGAGTCAGGCCGCTAGAGATAAAACCCACAACAAACAGAGTCAGGTGAGCTATGTGCAACACAACATGAACATCAGGATGGGAGCTGTTTCTGTTTGAAATCACTCTAGAATATTCTACTTTACTGGCTGTACACATACGATTCTAAGAAGTACAAACAATGGTTTTCATTAAGGATTTCACATGAAAGAGTAGAGTCCCTGTAAGGACTTTCTACTCGAGACATCCCGTGTGTCTTCAGAAACCAGAGTATTGCTGCCTACTCAAGGAAGTGAGCCGTACCCAGCTTACAGATTTCTCTGCCATCACATTTCCCAGGTTGCCCTTCTTCCTTTACACCCTTCCATTTAGTGGTAAATTATAAAATAAGTCCGTGGTGAAACTGTGATATTCTGGTGAGTAAGGGAGACATCCCAGGGCTGGTTGTTTGGAAGTAACACAACAGGCTTGAAGTGGAAAACCAGAGTCGTGACCGGCCACCCACTTGCTGGACTCGTGACTTTGTAGTGATTGCTATGTGTAAATTCTCTTGAGCAGTATGAGATGCCTGACACCATCCAATGTCTATTTGGTGTCCCAAGGGATCTGGGTACAGGGCCTCCAGGCAAGATTAGTCTCCTGGCTATGTGGCTTTCTCCAGCATAGGAAGCATGAATATTTTCTGTTTACTTTCCTCCAGGAGCCTGACTGAGATACCAGAGAATTGGATCCATGCCCTCCCAGGTTAAGGACAGAATGGAGTCTTCTGCCACAATCACCTCAAAGAGAAGTCATTAATACCTGAAATGTGACCAACTCTACTACCACCTACTCTCATCCTTGGTGAAATCTACAAGACTCCAATCAGCATGAGACAGAGCCTGGTGTCTTTATGGAGGGCAGCCTCAAAAGTCATCTTCTAAGATCAATATCAATATCTGTCACCTGACAGCTGACAGTTTGGTATCAAAAAGAAGGAGCATGCATGCTTTTAACTTCAAAAGCCTTTCCCTCTTGAAACTGTAGATGCTTTAATGATTAACATTTAAATATGGCTGAAGGATTACTCTACTGTATCATCCAAAGGGAATACTTAAAATGATATTTATGAAAGATTTGGGAGCAGAAAGGCTAGAAATAAAGGGAAGTGTTTAGGGTGAGTGATATGGAGTGGACACAGGTTTAATGTGTGTTGGGTGAGGTGTGTCCAAGCAAGAGTGGGGAAAAAACAAGAATTAAAGAAATTACCTAGTGGCATTTGTTTGCAACAGTGAGAAAGTTGGTTTAACTACTGCCAGGTGTACTTTGCAACTTTGACTACGGAGTTGTTGCAGGCAGAACACCGAATTCGTAAGACCTCACAAACAGAACTAGCTCTTCACTTATGAAAATTATTCTTTAGTGTTTCACTCATAATATAGTGCTAAATTCACTAAATTCGCTGTGGTTAAAGAAAAGGTATCTAGCTTGTTACACTCTTAATTCTATAACTGTCTCTGAACTCACATTTCTGCGTGTCTACTATGTTTTAAGAACTATGCTAGGAGGCAAAAGTTAGGAAGATAAAGATAAAACTGAACTAGGAAGATAGAGATGAGTTAGTCACTGCTGCCATCCTAACGAGTGGATAGTTTAGCTGGGTATGGTAGCCCATGCCACTAATCCCAGCATGTGTGGGAAGATGAGGAGTGCAAGGCCAACTTTGGCTATAGGAGACACAGTTTTAAAAAACAAAAAAGAAAAAGAAACAACTGTCAGTTTATCAGAGGAAAGAACCAGGTAAATAAAATACAGAATGAAAGATGTTATATAGAAGATAAGTAGCTATGTGCATATAGAGGTGTGCACATATATTCAATAGATATGAGGAAAATTTGGGAAATAGTAGAAGTTTCATCAGCATCACTAAACTGGTTTTAAAGGATGAGGTTCAAGAGTTGGAACATAACTCTGTGGAAGGATGCCGACTGGCGTGTACAAAGCCCCAGGCTAGAGCTCAACATGTAACAAAATTAAAAGGGCCAAGGGTCATGACCCTGGACTGCAAGAGGGTTCAGGAAAATAGGAAAAGTCACACAACACAGACATGGGATTTCACAGTCAAGGGGGTGTCAGGTGTGTGGTACATTTACACTATACAATTAAATGTCGCATGTCTGTAATGCCAGTACTTGGAAGGCTGAAACTGGGGGATGAAGTTCCAGGCTATCCTCCATGGCCACACAGTGACATCCAAGTCAGCCTAGATTACAGAAAAAGACTTTTTTATTTGTGTGTCTCTGTGTCTCTGTGTATGTCTGTGTCTGTTTCTGTGTGTGTCTGTGTGTCTCTCTTTGTGTATGTATTTCTGTCTATGTGACTGTGTCTGTGTGCATATGCATGTATGTGTCTGTCTCTGTATGTCTTCTGTGTGTCTGCATCTCTGTGTGCATATCTGTGTGTACATGTGTGTGTGTGTCATTATGTGTGTGTCTTCTGTCTGTCTATGTCTTCTGTGTGTCTGTATATATGTATGTGTGTCTGTGTATCTGCCTGTGCATGTGTCTGTCTGTGTGTATGTTCGTGTGTATGTGTATATGTATGTATTCTGAGTGTCTCTGTGTATCTATTTTTGTGCAGGTACCCACAGAGACCTAAAAGGAGCACCAGATCCTTGAAGCTGTGAATATAGGCAATTGTTAGGTGCCCAAAGTGAACTTTCTGCAGGAGCAACAAGAGCTCTAACCACTGTGCAATCTCTCTACCTGCTAAGAACCTGTCTTTAAAATACAGGTGATATGTAGGGCTCTTCAAGAAAGAGATGAGAGTGTGCTTCAGAAGCTGCACTGATGTGGGTATAAAGAACCTTGGAGACACCAACCAAGCATTAGCATTTTCTTTGGTCACCAGGGAAACACAGAAGCTTCTCACTTCTGGACAATGGCACAAAGGCAGAGAGAACAGGCTGAGACACATTAAACAACATCTGCCTTTGTCAGGAAAGCAACTCCAAGTTTTTACAAAAATCCATTCATTCATTTATATATTCACTTTACATCATGATTGCAGCCCTCCCTCTCCTCCCAGTTTCCCCCTACCAAAACCCCTTCTCTTATCTCCTCTCCTTTTTTCCTCTGAGGATGACGCCCACCTTCGTATCACCCCACCATGGCACGTCAAGTCACTCCAGGACTAGGCACATCCTCTCCCACTGAGGCCAGACAAGGTGGCTCAGTTAGGGGAACGGGATCTGCTGGCAAGCAACAGAGTCAGGGACAATCGCTGCTGCAGTTGTTGGAGGACCCTCATGAAGACCAAGATGCATATCTGCTATGTGGGGGGGGAAGGGGGCTATATCCAGCCCATTCTTGCTCTTTGGTTGGTGGTTCAGCCTCTGGGAGCCCCCAAGGGTCCAGTTTAGTTGACTCTGTTGGTCTTCTTGTGGAGTCCCTATCCCCCTTCAGTTTCCTCAATCCTTTCACACTCCCACCCCCCAACTCGTCCACAAGACTCCTTGAGTGCCATCTAATGTTTGGCTGTGGGTTTCTGCACCTGTTTCAGTCAGCTGCTGGGTGGAGCTTCTCAGAGAATAGTCAGCTATACCATTCCTAGGCGTATACCTAAAAGACATTCCACCACACCACAAGGACACTTGCTCAACTATTTTCATAGCAGCTTTATTCGTAATAGCCAGAAACTGAAAACAACCCAGGTGTCCTTCTGCTGAAGAATGGATAAAGAAGATGTGGTTCACTTACCCCAATGGAAAAACAAGGGCTTCATTAATTTTTGCTGACAAATGGATGTGACTAGAAAATATTATCCTGAGTGAGGTAGCCCAGACTCAAAAGGACATGTGTGGTATGGACTCACTGATAAATTGATATTAGCCAAAAATACAAGATAAGCACACTACAATCCACAGACCCAAAGAAGCCAAATAATAAGAAAGACTCAAAGGAAGATGCTTGAATCTCACTCAGAAGAGGAAATAAAACAGACATCAGAGGTGGATAAAGGGAGGAAAGGTGGGAGAGGGGATGAGGCAAAGGAAGGGTATGGGATAGGGACCAGAAATCAGTGGCAGAAGGGTGTGGGGATAGGGGCATCTCTAGGACATGCCAGAGACCTGGGACAGGAGAGACTCCAGGGAGTCTATGGGGGTGACTCTAGCTGAGACTCCTTCTAGTGGGAATATAGAACTTGAAGTAGCCAATTCCAATAACAGGCAGGACCCCCAGTGGAGTGATAAGGACACTAACCTACCCACAAAACCTATGACCCCAAATTTATCCTGCCTACAAAGATGTGCAGGGACAAAGATGGAGCAGAGTCTGAGAGAATGGCTGACCAATGACAGGCCCATCTTGAGACCCATCTCATGGGCAAGCACCAATCCCTGGCATTATTAATGATACTCTGTTACGCTTGCAGACAAGAGCCTAACAACCCCATTCTTCAACTTTCCCAAATACTAACTAACCTTATGTCTGGAAATGTAAATCTCCACCTTCATATGTGTTTTAGGTTTCTCAGAACTAGAACAGACCTTAATGGTAATGACACCACGTGTGAAGGACACAGTAAATATTACAAACGATCCTTTGGGGTCAAGGGAGAGACATGGGAGGAAAAAAAAAACAGGGAAGTCAAACTATGCCCATCCTCTGTGACATACGAAGATCAGAACAATTACCCCAGACTCTGTGGCAGGTACTTGGTACATGTATCCATTCTACTAGTAAATTAATATATAAACTTGAACCTTACAGTCTTACGGGCATGTTTTCAAATATCTTTGCCCTGTCCTTACACCAAATGTGAAAAAGAAAATGATCCTGAGGGCTGAGTGCACTTTTCAGCTTTTAATAAGAACAAGTGATTTAAAGAGTCTACAAAGGTCCCCAGGAAGGAGCTAGAGAAGAAATACCGAGCATCTCACTCACATGAGAATCCATTTCCATGAGGTCGAATAGTCTTCAAGCACCTTCAGACCAAACGTCCTGGCATCGATCATATCACTAATGCCACTGAGTCCAACAAAGGAAAATTTTATTTTCGATTAATTATTATTTTCCGTTAATATTGGGGAAAAAACATTCTTATAATAAAAGAGACTCTGCATGCTTCTATCGAAGGCATGGTCTTAGTGTCTGCCGCAGTGACCCTCTTACTAGCCACAGCAATCTACTAACTGTCACTTCAGGATGCCTCAGGGGTGACTGATATGTTCATCATAGCATGTAAGCAGTTCCCTGGAGGCCCGAGTGGTACTTTAACATTTTGTGTAATAACAGGATGCGTCAAAACTGGAAACAGAAAGGCAAACATACTTCGCAGCCTCCCTGAGTTCTACGATATTCCTGGTCTGCCCACTTCCATCTTCAAACTGCGTCCTACTTCCTAAAGCCAAGGTCCCATTGATGGCTGAAAGGTCAGGTACACATCTCTGCAGAACTGAGAAAGAGACCAAGAACCACAGTCAACACTTTGGTTTACTAGTCTCTCCCTCTAAGAACTGTGATCTTGCTGGGTGTGAAATGCGCTCAGGAGAGACGTCTAACTGTCCTTTATCCTTTATCGACACCTCCAGGATTTTCTGATGGTTGTGAGATGGAAACACATACCAACTACCAGAAGCCACATCCCAACTTGCTCATTCTCTTACACATGAAGATCTGTCAAATGCACAGGTAAGATGCGTAGGCTAAGCGACATTGGCTCACGCCACATATGCTGAACACACTTAAATGGAAAATTTATGGCTGCTGGTATGAAGAGAGGAGTTTAGGGCTGTCGCTTTAACAGGTCTTAGGTAGGGCTGGGGGTGCAGCTTAGTAGGGAGAGTGCCCATGTGAGGCCCTGGGTTCGGTTCTGAACACTGAATGATGTGGTAGCACACACCTGTGATCCCAGCACTTGAGAAGTGGAGGCAGGAAGGTCAGAAATTCATGGACACAAGGTCAGCCCAAGATATATGAGAGTCTGTCTTAAAAAACAGTTTTCAGCATTCCTCAGTGAAACTGTGGAAACTAGAGACTTGTAAAGGATCCCTGGAGAAGCAAGATCCAGCTCAAACTTCAAGCTCCTATGAAAGCTGGACTTCTATTGATGAATTCTTAATAACTTACCTCCTTGCCAGAGATACTATCTACATGTTGTTGAAAGACAGAAACTGTCAACGGAGCGGGGTGGGGGAGGCATACTATTTTAGACTGATGTGAGACTGGTGTGGTGTCTGAGAAAAGTTAAATCATCACTCAGTCATCTATGGTCTGATCATTTTCATTAAATGGAATCCTGGCCTCTATAAATATGTTTCTTTTAACTGCTTGTTGTAGTGCTGGGTAGCGAATGTATTTTGAAATATTAGAGTCTGAATTTCAAGGTGAAGAGATAAAAGAGTTCAGAAGTGGATAGATAATTTTCATGTTTTTTTCTTGTAAGTAGAATCACTAATTTACATGTGGGGCTTGAACCTAAAATGTTGAAGCATTGGATGCAGGGAATGAACATCTTATGACGCCCTTTCCAGGTTTCCTTGTCTTGCCCATCCATCTCAAAGCCCGATGACATAGACGATTTCTTTTATAATGCCCCTGTGTTTCTCCTGCTCCTTTCTTCCTCTCTGGGACAGATCCAAGATGGCAGCCTCCACAACCCCTCTCTGCTCACTCTAAGTCACCAGATCCTTGCCTTCCCCTCTCCCCAGATGAGCTAACCCTACTAATTCCCCAGTGGGGTTCTTGGCACACAGTAGGGCTCAGGATACTTCCTCTTTCCCATTTTTCTGGTCTTTTTGATCCTATATATTTCATAAGTGTAAGTTTCCACCTGGAAGAGCCCCTGGCCGACCTTCACATAGTGTTTGGCAGTCACTTCAAATCTGTTAGCACTCATTCACTAATATGTTCAGAGTAAAGTTGGAAAGGACAGAAAATATGAAGGAAAATTACAAAGTGATGCTCTGACTGGGCGCCCGCAATGAACTGTGTAGTCTTGCTGACCACTGTCCTTCCTCTCTCTCTTCGATATCTTTCCCTTTTTTGGTATCAAAATGATACAGGAAATAGAATTCCTTTTTCTTCTCCCTCTCACTAATCTTACTTTGTTTCCTTTTGTAAACAGTTTAAGGACTACGTGTTATTAGTTGTATGTTGTGCCACTCACTGATATATCTGATCCTCTGTTAGGATGAAAAGCTGATTGTATGGTTGACCTTAATGTCTCTTTCATTCCTTCGTTGACTATGGGGGATTATGGGTTAGTTGTTCATCTTACAACCCCCATGGATATTTTAAAATGTGATTTAACCAACATAGAATTGCAAGGACAGTTGTTTCCCCCTTTGCCATAAAAAGTTTCAGTGCTGTTCTTGACCACACAGTTAGCGTTAGGACTTCCTGGTGACTGTCGCTTCTCACATGGGCCAGCACCTCTGCTTCAGGGTCTATAATGAACCAGGGAAGATGAAGGGGACACTCAACACATGGATTTTGTGGCAGCTAATTCAACATTCTTGACTTTCTACTTAGATTGGTGCCTATTAATTTCCTTCTGTTTTAGAAGAACTTGTGGAAGAATTGAGGAGTAGAAAAACAGGAAAAAGAGAAAAAATGCCCAGTTTTGCCATCTCTTCTAGCAAACAACTTAATATTTTTGGTATATTTCTTTGTGATTGTTTTCCTTATATGATTTCTGGGATTCATTTTAATTTCTATATGCTTGCCACCATAATGTCTATAACAATTTGCATTTTGCTGAATATTTTATACATATGCACTTTCTATTTATTAGGTCTAAGATATTGCCTCTCAAAACATACTGTACGATTTCAGTGTTCTCTTGCCCTTGGATATTGTAACTTTTCATTTCCTTCTGGCCCCTACTATCTATGCTTTCCTGTGTTAGTTAGCTGTTCTGCCTTACTCTGAATGAACACTGTGTTGGAAATTTTTCTGCAAGTGCTTGTAGGGACACGTATAATCACACCAGTGGCTTCTTAAAACCAATCCTATCACTTTCCAAGGTACTTATGTAGCAGAACCCCAGATCTCACAGGGCTCTCTCTGTTGGAATGTCCCAGTTGGAATGAGGACTGGTATGGCCAGAGACAGTCCTTCTAACTGACTCTGGGCTCTCAGGACAGGGACAGCACCCATTCTCAGCCTTAGTTTTATCAACTGTGAAAAAGGAGATTAAATCACATTTTTGTAGATTCTGTGTTTCAAAGGTAAAATAATTAGCACTTACAAGGTCTGCTTGGGTATACTGCTAGGGGACAATCATCATTGGACAGAAAGCCTGCAAAAGTCTGAAAAGGAAGGGCATATTAACACTTCAAAGCCGGAAGCAACTGCCTTCACTCTCAATATCAGAACTTTGAGCTTCAAGTCTTAACTACGCATCTCATTTTCCCAAATCATCTCCCCACTACCAGTAACTATAAGATTATCACATAGAAATTCTTGTGAAAGAAAAAATGCCTATAAATGTTCTAAATGAACCAACAGAGATTAAAAAATAAACAAAAAAGAAAAAAAAACAAGATCTTACAAAAGCAAGACATACCTCTGAAGAGTCATGACCTCTTAGTCATAGTCTGAATCTCTGACCCTTAATTTTTTTTTTTTTTGGAAAAGCAGCATTTTCTATAATGTAACAATCAATGAACAGTATTTAATATAATAAAGCTTTAGAAATCTCTTGATGTTTAACCTAGGTAAGGATGGGCTTAGACATTTTTATTGCACTGTTTTATTCTCTCTCTCTCTCTCTCTCTCTCTCTCTCTCTCTCTCTCTCTCTCTCTCTCTCTCCGAGTGTGTGTGTGTGTGTGTGTGTGTGTGTACACCATACATGCTAAGGCACACGTGTAGAGGTCCCAAACTGCCAGGTTTAGTTTTCTCTTCCTATCATGTTGAGGTCCGTGTCAGGAATGAAGTTTAGGTGAGGTGGATAATCAGCTAAGCCACACAGTAAGCAGTATGCTTTTGTAATGATGATTTTAAATGGCATAAAAACCTAGCTCTTGTCAGCAACAAACCCACCCAGATATAGAAAATTCTCTGTGTTGTGCATTGGCGGGAACTCACTAAGCAGACCTAAGAGTCTTTCCTATACCACAAGTGCACAGAGTGATATATCATGAATGATATATTTCTGTGTCTACACAATATATACCATAAATATCCCATGTTTTGGTGTGCGTCCTCACAGTGACACACCATGAACAATAAGTGTTTCTGAGTGTCCAAATAAACTTGTATTTTACTAGAAAGACACCATGAACACTCATTTTCTAGATCTGGACATTTTTTTTTTCCAGCAGCAAACTGGGCTGTTCCACGTAAGATCAAAACACCAGCTGAATTCCTCCCTTGTGTTAACGTTAGCACACACACCTCCACAGGCCTGGCCTTGGCCTTGCAGAACTGACGATAGTATTCCCAGTAGTTTTTGTCTTTTTTGTTCAGAAATTGCATATCCAAGTAGGTGAGGAATCTCTCTGGGCACCTGGAGACACAGATCTGTGGAGCAGAGAAGCATAGGGAAGAAAGTGAACGGAGTAAACCAAGAAGATGTCCACAAGGTTGGGTGGGCTTCTGAGCTCCTCACCAGAGTGAAGAGGAAAACACCGATCTCCATCTAAGCAACTTGAATCATGTTTCTAGTATTATTCCGTAAAATTAAGTTGACTGTAGAATGCTATCAACCTGGACTTCTTGCTTTCTTGGTCTTGCATTAAAACAAGATATTAAACATAGATGGTATTTGATGCTTGGGTTTTTAAATCAGCATATACTGCGTTAGAGATCATTTTAACGTTTTTCAAACCAAGTGTTTTCATGCCTTCTCCTTTTCCTACCGCCTCCATCCAGACGCCCTGCTGCCTTCTTCTAACCCCTGTTTTCTTTTTTCAGGTCCAACGTGTCCTCTTCCCACCTCCCATCCCTCCTCATGGCTTCATAGCAACCTGTCTAGGGAAATGTGATATTAAGTAAGTCAACCCAAACTCAGAAGGCAAATCAGCATGTCCTCTTTTAGACATAGATTCTAGCCCATGATATGTATATATATGTATGTGTACAGCATATACACATTGGTATAAGTGTAGGTAAAGTTTAAAATTTCTAGATGATTTATTTTTAACATGATAAACGTAGATCCAAAAGTCGTTCTGAGAAGCAGAAGTCTCCGTGTGCTTGTCTCTCAGATTCTCCAGATAGCAATACTTTGCATAACTATGACATAGTATAACCACTTCCCTCTCTTGGATTACACTAATTTTATATCCATTCAGTGTGTACCTGTGAGAGACAGTTCTATGTGCAGATTTAGGGATTTCTAACATAGGAAAATGATATTTTTTAAAAAATCTTTTTTAAAGGTTTTCATTTTTGTTAGTGTGTGTATGTATGTGTATGTGTGTATGTGTGTGTACATGTGTGTACACACCTATGCAGATGCACATCAATATGTGCAATGTGCATGCAGGTATCCAAAGAGTGTAGAATATTCCCTGAGGCTGAAGTTATAGAGGGTTGTGAGTCACGTGACATGGGTGTTTAAGAAGTGAACCCAGGTCCTCTGTCATGATTTTTTAATGAGATGTTTTCTTATAATTGCCTGAATTAGTATATGGCTGGATCTATGTACATTCTAGGTTAGAATCTTGCTTTGTTTTCTGCATGAAGAAAATGACTTTGAAATATTCTGTCAGTTGTTAATGCACATGGGAAATATTCACCAGCATGTCTGTGAGTCTCCCATAATTCTGAAAACATAATTATAGTTTGTCACCATGAGAAATAAGCCAAATCTAGATATCTGCCACAGTTAATCACCATGAAGTCTCTTATCAACACTATGTAGACGTGGACAAGAGAGGTTACCTATGCAATTACTTTGAAGAAATGGACTTGGGACGCATAAGTGACAAGCCAGGTCACCTGTGTAATTATTTTACAGTAATAGACTTAGGGCACATCAGTGACAAACTAGGGTACTGTGGTCATCCACAGGGCCACAACAAAGTGATAGCAATCCAATGTGTAATTCCATTAAACAACGATAGAGACAGGGGAGGGATAGTCTGTTGCTTATGATTTTAAAAAGTAATAAAATCTCCATCAAACTGAGAGAGCTGTATCAACTGAGAGAGCTGCATGAACTTCTGTGCAGCTCCTCCTCAGCTCAGCTCCCATGGGAATCACTGACCCAGCCTGTTCATCATCTCCTGCCACGCCTTTAATAATCATTCCTTTTCAATGTTTTAATACTTTGACAATTTCATAATGCTATCATGGATTTCATACACTATTACTTCTCTTTCTCATCTTCTTCCCACCCCTGTTGAGCTGTCTTGTTCTTCCTTCCTTCCTTCCTTCCTTCCTTCCTTCCTTCCTTATAATAATCATCAGCAACTTACCGGTGACAACATTGCTGACAAAGATGACTCCTTACCATGCACCCAACCATCAATGGCTAATAGCACTTCAGGGAGGAGTGAAGCTTCATGAACCTCTCCTCCATTGTGATGGAAAGTCGATAGGCCCCCTTTTGCACATGGATGCTATGAACTCATGGATACAAATACCATGTTTTCCCCAGAAGACTGCTATTTCAGAGCAATGTTCTTCATCCTCTTTCTCTTAAACTCTTTCTGTGTATTCTTCTGCCACATCTCCTGACTCTTGGAGTAGGTGATATAGTTGCCCTGCTTAGGGCTGATGGGTCAACAGTAACTTATCCTTAGCACCATTTATGGCTTTCATGTTGCTGGAATGTCTTACTTATCTGTGAACCCTGTGAGCTACAGCATCAACTGGCCATCAAAATGTGTCTACTGGTGCATTAGCAGCCTGGCTGTTATGTTGGTAACCAGATGCTTTCTGATTGGATTTGAAGCCTGCTCTACAGGAGGGAATGTAAACCTGATACAATAAACCTGTTCAAAAGTCCATGGGCATTGAATATACAGGCCTGGAGTGGGGTAGGGGGAGCTACTACCGTTGTTTTTCTGAATGGATGTGTTGTAAAACTGCTTTCTAAATGTTTATGTTTATCATTTTTATATACACAGATTAGTACTTGTCTCAGCATTGCTGAGAGAAGCTTCTGTTTACAGGAAGTTATAAATAATGCAGAGATGAATAGCTGGTCAAAGTGCTGGTAACTATTCTTACTGGCAGTTCAGCAAAAGCATGGTTGCTAAGTGAGCCGCTTCCTCACCTCTGTCACGTTTCTACTGTCTACCATGGCACTTGCTGTTGACCACACCACAGTAGGAGAACTAAATGCTCGCCTCGAGTCTCACAGTGATGTTATGTGATAACTGCAGGAGTGTAATGCCTTCTCGAAGTTTGACAGCATAAAGCAAGCCACCTCCTTAAGATTCTCCATTATATACTCACATACATGTCCACTCTCTGCCCCTCTAGGTCTCTCTGTCTCTCTGTCTCTCTCTCATACCACACACACACACACACACACACACATTTCTAGCAGAAGCATGGGAGGTCTCAAAGCTTAAGAGCTACATATAAAGACACCAACAACATCCAACGCATCCACATGTTTTGTAAGAAGGTCAAAGTTATTATCAGTGTGAATGGGAACATTCACTCTGATTGGAATCATGAACATGTTAGGAGATTCCTCAGCAACATGCTAGCTTTGACTCTTTGCTCATAACGTGGCAGAAGACAGAAGAAGATGGATACACTTTGATGTAGTTATTAAAGTGAAAACTCAAAGAGCCAACATTCTCTGAGATTCACATAATGGGAGGTGCTGCTTCTGAGACCCCAACAATTCTACACTTACAAGTACATTCGCACTGTATACCACACACACATACACACACATACACACACACACACACACACACACTGGTGCATTTGCGACATGAAGAAGAAAGCAATTAAATGGGAAAATGTAGTTCGTCAAAGAGAATCATAACAAACTTCAATCAAAACACAAATGAGCTTAAAACAACAACAAAACCATAGCAACTGTTCTTTCTTCTTTTCCTCTATCAGAACAAGTTGTTCACTCCAAATGGGATGCTGATTAGAAGCAATCATGGTATAATTATCCAAGAAGGTCACACTGAAGCTGAGTCTCCAAATTGATGCTAGCCCGTTATTCAAGGGCTTATGACCATGCTGCCAATTGACACAAATATTATGTATGGAATATAGATAGCTCTGATCAGTAGGGCTGATCGATGCTGAATGCACAGCTGCAGCTGCAACATACCCTGCTGAGCTGTGATCCTTATGGGCTTCACAGGACACTTTCACCATCATTCTCCATTGGTACAGTATCAACTCAGGTGATTCAACACTATTGTAAAGAAGAACTGTGTACTGGGAGAGTGGGTTGTACTGAAGATTAAAATACTACACTTGTTATATATACATTGTCTACATATGCATATATCCTAGCTAATCTAGGAAGGCATTTATGAAACTAACAAACATGTGACTTTTTGTCTTATTACAGGAACTTTGGTATGTGTGGTATGTGTATGGTATATGTATGTATGGTATAGTGGAAAGAGTAGGAAGACGGTCATTTATTGATTTACTAGCTCATTCATTCCATAGACAGTAACTAATCACCTACGCTGGGGGATTGGAAATAAAGTGAAAAGTGGAAGACAAACCACTAAGAACCTTTACCATCAAGGTATTTGTCCCTTAATCCAGGGAGAGAGACAACACAACATTTCTTTTTAGTGAGATTGTGTATGTGTCTGTGTGTGTGTGTGTGTGTGTGTGTGTGTATGTATGTACATGTGTTTGATGTGTATGAGTGTGGAGATTATTCCAACAGATGCAGAAATCAAAGAGCAGAAACCCAAGAACCATGAAAGAGCAACTGGCTCTTCCAAACAATCACACTGCTCAGTAAATTCACCCAAAGATGCAGAAATGGCTGGAACAGCCAACAAGGATTTCCGGACTGTGATTTCTTGTCAGAGCAAATGGTTACCATCACTGAAGTTCCCTAGTCACTGTGACATAATTTATCTCCGCCTCAGCTTTGACTGAATGTGAGTGGACATGAATGACATCGTGCTTACATCTTCTTACCGTACACTGACTCGACATGGAATTTCTGAATCCTCTTACCCAGCATCTTAGAGACAGCTAACACCAGCACGGAGGCAGCCAGCTTACCTGTGTGGTGGAACACTGCAGCCGAAGCATCATGGAAGCACTGGTACATCTGAAGATGTTAAAGTAAAACAAAACGGTCTTGTTCCTATTTTAAAAAAGAAAGCATAAATCAATCTCTTCAGTGATGGTAGGAATGCACACTAAACCACAGAAACTTTGAATGCGTTGCCTTTAAAAATCAACTCCATTCTCTGTATGTGGGTGCAGCGTATCTTCAGACTGCCTTGACATCGCCTAACAATCAAAGCTTTGTTTTGTGACTATTAAAAGTTGAAGTAAATTGTCCACCAGCAAGAGACCGTATAACACAAGGTGAACAATCACACTGTCTTGGAAATGATGTTGACACAGATGTATAATGGAAGGAAAAGTTAATAATATATTTATTTTAGAGAGGAGCTTACTTAAAAGATTATGTATTTTTAAAAATAAATTTTACTATGTATTATTATAGAAATACTTATAGAAATAAGTATTAAATTACATGCAAAAAGAAATCATTATATCTAAATTTGGGGACTATATTTCTTCGTTTAATTTTCGCATTTAAGGATTTCTTTAACATAAGCATGGTTTATGGTGGTGGTGTAAAAATAAACAGTAGTTATACTTTCTATTGCAAATTATAATAAGTGGCAGTCATGAGCTTCCAATGTGATATTACCCTGTCATTGGATATTCTCTTTATATTTCAACTATTTCATTAGGGAGATGAAGACAACGCCAGCCTCGGGTACTTTGCAGCGGTATGGAAAGAACCCAAGATGATGCTGGGCACAGGCAGCTGTTCAACTTCATGGAACAAAGGGAATATGTGGACATTGATTTTAGATCCTGCCTCCTCTCTGTATTAACTCCCAAGGCTCCGTGTGCATGAATGCATGAATGGAGAGTTAGCATCCTTTCTCTAAGCTCCTCAGTGGATTCAGAGATCAATGGTCTCTGTATCTTAGGAATCACAGCACCAGGGCTGGGGATATAGCTCAGTTGGAAGAGTGTTTGCCTAGCGTGCATGAAGCCCTGGGTGTGAGCTGCAGCACCCCATAAAATCCAAGCATGGCATTAATGTAAGTACTTGGGAGGAGATCAGCTAGATCAGAAATTCATAGTTGCTGTCAGCCACATCACAGTACTGCAGCCAGCCTGCATGAGACTCTGCCTCAAAAAAAAAAAACAAAACAAAACAAGATAAAAAACAAAATAACAAAACCACCAAAAGCCACAGCTTTAACAACTCAAGAATAATTTTCCCCAAGAACTTGTCCAATCCCCTAGTTAACAAAATTTTTAACCCAGAATTGTTCCTGTTTAAAGGAAATACAGGGACAAAAAATGGAGCAGAGACTAAAGGACAGGTCAACCAGAGTCTGCTCAACCTAGGGATCCATCCCATCTGCAGACACCCTGACACTATTGCTGATGCCAAGAAGTGCTTGCTGACAGGAGCCTGCTATAGCTGTCTCCTGATAGGCTCTACTAGAGCCTGACTAATACAGATGCCGATACAGCCAACCATTGGACTGATCCCAGGAACCCCAATGGAAGAGCTAGGGGAAGAACTGAAGGAGCTGAAGAGGATTGCAAACCCATAGGAAGAACAATACCCACTACCTGGACCACCCAAAGTTCCCAGAGACTAAACCATCAACCAAAGAGTATAATATGGAGGGACCCATGGCTCCAGATACATATATAACAGGTTTTCTCTGGCATCAAAGGGAGGGGAGGCCAATGGTCCTGTGGAGACCTGATGCCCCAGCATAGGGGGATCCTAGAGTGGTGAGGCGGGAGTGGGTGAGTAGGTGAGGGAGCACCATCACAGAGGCAAAGGGGAGGGGGAATGGGGTGGAGGATTTGCAGAGGGGAAATTGGGAAGGGAGACAACATTTGAAATGTAAATAAATAAAATAACCATTAAAAAATTATTGTGACTACAAACGTAGCATAAATGTACAAGGGACACTTAGAAATAACTTTCTATGTAAGATCAGACCTAGGAATGTAGGAAGCTCTCTGTGGAAGTTTTCACTAGTCTTTTCCTTCTCTCCTACCATGTCCTGCCCCTAAGCATCTAAGCAGAGACGGTATGAGGAAGCAGACTAGAGAGAGAACTGTTGGCAAGATACAGGAAAGTTAAGAAAAGTTCCACTGAGGAGAGGTGGGTTGTCTTTCTGTGAGAACCTCTTACAGAACCCGGAGGTGCCCCAGGAAGGACAGACTGACACGTCGTTTTGCAGTTGACGACATCACCTGTGGAAGACCTGCCTCCGTGCCTGTTTGAGGAGGTAGAGAAGAAAGAATTTAAGGAGTTCATGGACCAGAAGGCCATGGGGAGCTGCCTGGTGCAGAAGGACTGGAGTTGAATAAATGGGCCTGGCTCTTCCTGACCTCTGGAAACCACGGAGTTGACACGGGACAGAACTGCAGGTTGTGGAGGGGAACAAACCAAAGCTGGCGTTCCACTTGAAACAACTAAGTAAGGAACCTCTGTTCTCCTGTAAGGGAAGTGGTGTTTGCATGGATATGTGACTGTGTTATGCAGGTGTGTATGCACACATGTGCACATGCATTCGAAGGCCAGACGTTGACACTGGGTTTCTTCTTTGTCCTCTACCTTATTTATATGAATCTTGGAGAAAGAACCTTCAATCACCACCTTACTAAACCAGCCTAATTCCTAAGTACGCTCTAAACATCTGTCATCTTACTTCAAACAACTAAGAACACGCTGTCTCTCATAAGCAATGTCTCTATTATTATATGGCTCTAGGTAATGCTCACTGATGGCCCTGTAAGCCATCTCTCGACTTCCTCTATTTTTTATTGACTATTTTATTCATTCACATTTCAAATGTTGTCCCCTTCCCACTTTCCCCTCCACAAGCCCCCTCTCCCCTTCCCTCTCCCCCTGCCTCTATGAATGTGCTCCTGCACCCCCAATCCACCCTAGTCTCAGTGTCCTAGTGTCCCCCTACGCTGGGTCATGGAGCCTCCACAGGACCAAAGGCCACTCCTCCCATTGATGCCAGATATGACAATCCTCTGCTACATATCCAAGTGGAGCCATGGGTCCTCCTTGTGTACTCTGTGTGGTTGGTGGTTTAGTTCCTGGAGACTCCTCTATTTTTTGAGACAAGATCTTTCATTGAACAGGGACCTCATCCATTTGGTGATTTAGACTATCGACTGTCAGAATGGCTGACTAATGCATTCCAGGGATCTGCCCCTCTCTGTCCTGTGAGTGCAGGGGCTACAGATACTCACAGTACCCAAATTACAAAGGTGCTAGGGATTCAAATTTTCCTCATGTTTATGTGACAGTCATTTTACTGATGAGGTGCTGCTACTGTCACAGTGAGGATACAGTTCACTCATCATCGGTGTCCATCTTGGGTAGGCATCTAAACGTCACCACGGTCTCACAGTCACTTGTAACCCTGGTGCTATGTGAGTTAGAGATATGAAGATTTCTGGGGCTCTGAATGGCAGAGGCTTGCTGGCTGCCAGCCTAGTGGAAAAACGTTAGCCTCAGGTTCAGGAAGAGATTCTATCTCAAATGCACAAGGCAGAGTGTGACAGAGGAGGATGTCGTAAATCCTACTCTGGCCTCTGAGGGCACACACAAGTGTGCACACCTACACATACATGAACAGTCAGCACAGTCAGACTCAATTCATCAATTTTCTTTTATTTTTGAGATTATAATACTGTCACATTGTTCCCTCTGCACTTTCTTTCCTCCATCCCTGACATACTCCTCCTTGCTTTCTTTCAAATTCATGTCTTCTTTTGTCATGAAGTGCCGTTATATGCACATAGGTACATGCATGTACATATGTTTTAAAATATAACCTGTCTGGTGTGTACAATGCTACTCATGTGTAGCACTTGCGGCTGACCATTTGGTATGGGATCATCAATTCGGGTGCTCTTCCCTGAGGAGAACAATTTCTCCCATTCTCAGCATCCTTCGTTGCCTGTGGTTCTTTGTTCAGGGTTGAGGCTTCCCCGTGTCCTTGGCTCGTCGACTGGTATCATCCTCGTTCAGCTCATGTTTAGGCAGTCGTGTTGGTGAGGTTTTATTGGTGTAGCTTCTGGCATCCCTGCAGACACAGTCTCACAGCAAAACCCTTATCTGCTGGCTCTTACGATCTTTCTGGCCTTTCCCACTTCCTTGATGTTTTTCTGAATATTGGTGCGGGTATGTTTCCTAGATGTATCCGTTGGGACTGGGGTTCCACAACCGTGCATTTTGATTGGTTGTGGTTTTCCTGTGATGGTTTCCACCTGCTGCAAAGAGAAGTTTCCTTGGTGAGGGGTAAGGACCTCACTTCATCTGTGGGCGTAAGGACAGATGTTTAGAGTGTAGTTGGGGATTAGGCTGTTCTAGTAAAGGGGTGGCTGAAGGGTCTCCTTCAAGATTCAGAAAAATAAGGTGGAGCTCAATAAAAATGAAACCCAGTATCAATGCCTGGCCTCCACAGCACGTGTACCTGTGAGTATTACATTACACATGCACATACCCAGGAAAACACACACATACACATACCTACGAAGATTCACGAAGACCTGAGGGGGGGGGATCTATCTTGAATGGAATGACTATAAAAAAAATGAGTTTATGAAACTTGTAGGGAAATGGGTAGATTTAGACAGTATTGTATTAAGTGAAGTGATCCTTCCTTAAAGAATTTTATATCCTCAGGTCCTAACTGTGTTTGTATGAGCACATGCATGTGTGTGACTGTAGCCTATGTAAGTAGAAAGGTGACCATGGAGGGGAAAGACTTGTTTAGGTAGAAGACAGCAAGATGTGTAGGTGGACTGGAGTCTCCGGGCGTGGAAACAGAAGAGCACACCGTATCAGGGGAGTGGGGAGAAGAGGCCTGAGGAAGATCACCACAAACAAATTCTCTTTGAAAACTGCAACAATAAAAACCTGCTCCTTTATATGGTGATTTTAAAACTTAATTTTTTGAAGAAAAAAAAAAGACTTGTGCTGAATTGTGAGGTTTCCAAGTCTCAGAAGTATGCTATTTCAAACACTTTCCCAAAGAAAAGGCACAGCGTGTCACCAGATTGGCC